AGGAGTCCACATCTACAGAAAGGCCTACAGAAGAGTCTGCACAAAGCAGTTATACAGAGGTGGGTAGTGTATACTTTTCCTTTTATTTTTTGTTGCATAAGGCTTGTGTTGACAGGTTTAACAAGCCCCCCTGCCCCTAGAAAATAGAGTATTTTGGGGGGGGAAACTTGACAACTTAAAGAAAAGAAAAAAAATCTGGCACTACAGAGTTAGAGATAGAGTTGCTTCAAAGGAACTTCAGAGTAAGTGCTAATATATTATTTCACACACAGTACTTTTGCTGACCTTGCATAGTATCTCTTATTGCAGGCAAAATATGACTTGATCACTGGCTTTTCTTTACAAAGAACAATTTAAATAAAAAATCAAAGAACTAAGCATATTTGTCTTGTCTTTTATTAAACATTTAATGAAATGTTTTATATTTTTGCTGATGGTGGAAATGTTGTGTAATATGGCACATGTAATGTCACAGGCCCTGTCAAGTGCAACCCTCAGGCTTTTCAGACACTGAAATCTTCCCTTTTGTTGGCCGAAGTTCATTTCATTGTGTGACCTTGTCCTGGCTAGAGCTGCATTGTAACTGTAATACAGTGAGCTTGATATTGATACCATGTTCAAGTAATGTGCATAAATGTGAATCTCTGTGCTTCCACATTTGTGATACGGAACAGTCACACACCATCTAGAGATTGTAGTCTGTCAACTGCCTTTTTTTAAATTTGATATAATATTACTAATCTTGAATATTAAGAATTGTAATAGTAACTTGGCTGCACATTTACATTGTGATCCCCCTTTCTGTTCACAAAATCCCCTTCATAGAGGCCTTGATGGGAACATGTGTGCAGTCTATTGACCAATCACATTAGTGAAGCCTGAGGGACATATCTGTGTCATATTAATCGGCATGTTCATGATTGCATGATCTTCATTAAAAATTATAATACCTGCATTGGCTAAATTATTATTATTTTTTTTAAACCTGCTATAGCCTACAACCTTGGGTCTAAACTGGCTTGGAAATGCCACAAAAAAAAACACCCTAAAAACGGCTTGAGCGCCAGGGTAAACTTTGTGAATGACACGACAGACAGCACTTATCAAGTTCTCCGCATCTCCAATAGTTTAAAGGAAAGAGCCACTCGCAAATAATATCAGGACAATGCACACAATTTGTGCTGTTATTAAAGGCCGACTCCGACGAGTCGAACATTTAATGTGCGTTTCCAAAAAATAATTGATGTAAATGACATCCTCACGAGTCATGAGAAAAATTATATATCTCAAAAAGTACACTATCGCACTGCGTTAAAGACTTCTCGTTTCACCTCCGCTTATAAAGGCGCGATCTAATCCTGTTTACATGAAATAAGCCGGCTCACGAGCAGGTTCAAGCTAGCGCACCTGTTGCTATGACAGCAAGTCTAGGATGAGCTTCGAAGAACCAAACGATCCAAGATCATGCCAAATCGTCAACAATCAAATCCAGCTAACTGAGTTAGCGACGTACGAAGAACGAGCCCCAGGTGTTAATAGGCTACATTAAATGCTTCAATTCACCTCAGATATACCAGCAGTAAAACAATCAGAGGCAGAATTGAGACAGAAAAGCATATTGTTGTTGTAAATAAGCTATTCATCTAAGCGGTATACAAATCATTGTAAATAACCTGTTCAGTTGTAACAAGTGTATCATCTGTTTTTGCTTCGGCACTTATTATATTGTCTGCTCTACTCTTCGCAGAAGGTGGAAAAACATTTTGCCCACAACTTAGGGATGTGAAAAGGGCTGTCACTCATTTACTTCACCTTACTTTATAGTTAATTTAACGATTACATACTGGTAGTTGATGGTAAAACGTTAAAAAATGTTAAAGTAAATAGGATTTTAAAAAGTCAAATACTTGTGTTCAAGTTCATATGTAAAAAACAGGAATTTTACTTTTTAAATGGTTAGTTCTGTGGATATCTTAATAATATGGTAAAAGCTATTATGGAATGATTAAAATGTCATCTGTTTCCCTATGGCATTTTATTTAAAAATCTTTAATCCCAATCAGAGCATTTGAGCAAAGATTCAAGTGCGCTCAACTCAAACGTTCCCAACCCAAGCAAACGCTCCACTCGTGTGCCGCTTACGCTCATCAGTGAACACATCGGATCAAATCCCGCTCCAACAGGTTGTTTCTCTGTGCTAGATATATATTTCTCTTTGTCATAAACTTCTTGATCAAATGTCTTAATTGCAGTTGGCTTATGGATAACACTTAAGCTATTTGTGGATTTAATCTCCTTAGCTCTTTAACCTCAATAATTTATTAATCTCTGTGAGGAGCGCAATGTAAGCAATCGGTAGTTATTCATATTTTTTTAACTGGAAGTTATTACAAGCACTCGATTACGGTTTCTTATTTTGAGACAAAACACAAAAAATAACATAAACATCCGCTTACATTCATAATTTATTTTATCTGAGCCACATTAAATAAAATACAAACATACATTAACAGATACACTGTGGATATTTTGAAAACGTCTTAAATTTAATGAGGGACTGACTGGACGTATAGTAAGGGATGCAATTGTTAGAAATTATTTTTGACAGGATCATCTCTGATGATTGTTTCTTTGAAATTAATATATGGCCATGAATGACAGCAAAATGGAATATATTATTTTTGTTTGTTATTGAAATCTGTTTGGGGGATTATTTAATGGGGACAAGATCATTTTCATTTTTACTTTACTATACTGTATAGCTTAATTTGTAGCATATGTTTACTTTATCTACTTTAGTCAAGTGCAAAATATAAATAAAAGTATGTACACTAAATTATACAAATTTATTATTTGACCAATTTTTAAGTTAGTACATTTTCTTCCTGGAATCCATCTTGAAATCCAACCCCCTGTTGAGATCAGGATAATCCTGTGTTTTCAGGTCAAGTCTTGAACAACACAAACTGAAGGTTTGATCCAGATTGAAACTAGGATTAGATTCCGTGATCTAATCTGATTTCAGATTCCTTCTTCCCCTTTGAACAACCCATTTTCAAGATTTGATCCAATCTGATAACCAAAATCTGATCAGCTTACTTTTGAAGAACTGGACCTTGATGCTAATTATATATCATGATGTATTTGGTCAAAAGAAGTCTCGTAAGAATTTTATTTTTCCTAGAAAGACTATTGATATAAGATAGGTGAAAATATATTGTGATTAAAAAATTGTAATGCAAGAATGCATGGGAAAATGGCTAAATAAAACAAAATAGTAATGATAATATATAATGAGGATCATGTCGCGTACCCTGCAGATGTTTGAAAGATTTGCAGACTGGCAACAAAAGAAACATGAATGGGCCATTTTGCAGTGGCAGCCATTAGAAAACAGGGCAAAATGGGGCCTACATGAGCTCAATGATTGTTTTAAATTAGCATTTTATTACCCTTCTCTAAAAACCCATGCCATGAAAATTATTCATTGGCCCATTCAAACTCATTGGCCCAGTTACACAGACAGGGCTCAATTAGGACATTTAAGCAGCTTTTTTAAGCATTCCTGAGGAAAAACAAAACATTACTGGTGTGAATGTTGCGAGACAAAACAACTCAAACATGCATTTTAGTTTCAGACTAGCTTAAGCTAGTTTTTGAGTTTTAGTTTTAGAGACACCATCCTTAAAGGTGCTCTAAGCGATGTCATGTGTTTTTTAGGCCAAAACATTTTTTGTCACATACAGCAAACATCTCCTCACTATCCGCTGGCTGCCTGTCCCCTAAACACACTGTAAAGAAACGCGATCTCTGTAGACAGCCCATGCTTCACAAACAGCACCAAAAACAAACTGCAGCGACCCGCTCCCCAAAACATAACAAACTGTTCCAGCCAATGACCGACAAGAAGGGTTTGGGGGTGTGGTTTGGGGGGTTAGTGTGCGGATGAGGAGGAGGGAGGGTCTAGCTAGCCTCCGTTTTGTTTGACAATAGTTCGAACGTCAACAAGAAGTGACGTCACCCAGGATCGCTTAGAGAACCTTTAAATTTGGAATGGAACATAAACAGACATGTGGTTTCAGCTTTGTTGTGTTCCTAGATCCATTTACCACATCCATGTTTTAGACATTCAAAATATGTATTATCAAGTATTATCAATTTTATTACAGTTTTTATATTTGAGCTAACATATCTGTATAATACTAACAGTCTGAGTAAGTAACATTAAGCTCTCAAGTGTCGGCCTACTAAAGATAGGTAGGTTATGTGTAGTCAGCAAGACTTATGACATACTCATATGTAATTTATTCCCCACCTGCAAAACAAGGGCTGTCTTAGAAAATGTTAATGTGTTTAAATGTATATACATTGATATATAAACGTGTATGCAATTAATTAACATGTGGTGTGACTTGACTGTATAGTGCTAAATTACAGAGCTGATTGAAACATATCCCAATGGCTGTGATCAGATGCTTTCTCACTGTGTTTTCAGTCCCTGAGTGGACTGAGCTGCAACCCCCACTACCTGCAGGACATTTGCATCTCTATGGAGAACGGCTTCAAAGGCCAGACTGTGAAAGTTTTACCTTAGACCTAAAAATACACATGCTTTAAAAAACAAGTCATCCTATTTACATGCATAATCTGCATGCATAACCGGTAATCGTCCCAATCCGTACATTAAATGTGCAGATTTGTATTTATTTATTTTTTACATTGTGGTAAATTACTTTTTCCTGTCTTTTAAAATCTTTTAAAAATGGTGCACCATCCCATTGTTTGATATTATTTTTGAACTTTTTCTTTATTAACTTTATCATGTTTTATCTGCCATTGATATAGGTTTGTGTTCTGTGCTCTATTTAAAATGCATACAAAATAATACTAATTATGGAAAGGACTTTTTCCTGATCCAGTTGATGTTTACAACTGGATTTAAAACTAATTTACCACCGGATTCTACCCTTATTTTAAACTAGCTATTTGATTTCATGGCCCAATCACTGCTCAGATAGCAAAATGTGTATCTCTCTATTCCGGGTTCCTAACTCACACTTCATTGTTTGCCATTTGGAAGAGCACAACTTTAGAAGACTTCTACAAGATTGTTTCCTACATTGGAGAGTTATCTTTCTGCTATAGTCTAAAGACTTATCTACCAACAAGATCCTAAGAAAAAGCGCACTGAGCCATTTCTCATCTCACTTTTTTTCTTTCCGAAGTAAAAGGTAAGTTGCACATTCTAACTTCATGTTATGATGATTTGTAAATGCTAACATTATACAATGTTTTTGTATCCTCTTACAATGTAAATGTGCATGCAGATTGGTATTATTGATATTCAGTTTGTTTTTAAAATGATTTTTTAGAAATACTTGATATAAAAAGTATATATTGTAGTGAATTATCACCCACATTGTCATCTTTTCAATAATTTATTGTCTACGCAATTCTAAAGAGTTTTTTTTTTTAGTATTTATTTATTTTTTAACTTGGCATATACAGTAGATCCTACATAAAATATTCTTAAATATTTCACAGGATAATGAGACCCCAAAGAGTTTTTCCTGAAAAGGAAGCTTTGTACTTCATTGCTTCTGGGAAATATAAAGACACATTTGAGAAAAAATTAATGTGTGAAGAGAAAGGTAAGTTACGACTTTCAATTCTGCCATCAGTATGACTTTGCAAAACTTAATTAAAAGCTAAGCTTGGTCACTAAATAATGCCTAATGGTTGGGTTTAAAATGTGTATCTAGAAAAAGCAGGCTGTTAAAACAAAACACACAAGAGAAAAAAAACATGATTGCTTCAACTTGAATCAGTTAAAGGTGGATTTATTTCTGTTTTCCTGCCCGTATTCATCAGCTGCTGATGTCTCTAAATTAAACTCTATTATGTAGATGTGTGAGTGGTCTTGATATTATTTGTATGTAACTGCCAGTTAGACTGCGAGGGGCCTGTTTAACAATGGAAATGATCACTATTCAGTGTCATGATACATATGAGTTTTGTAGTTTTGCACTTTTATAAAGATGTAGATATCGTAGTTGTTTTCCAAGCAAGGCTACCATTTAAAACAATTTAGACAACCTAAACAACTTTATGAATCTTTTATCATACTTAATTTACTCTTATTTATACTCTATTTATTAGGTTTTGGAGTAATCGCCACAAAACATATTGAGCCAGGAGAATTCCTGCTGGAGTATGTTGGAAGACACATTAATGGATCTGAAGGAGAGACCCTGTTCAAAGACTACTCAGCTGAAGATGCCGTTTTTTTTTACATTTCTACTCCTTTCAGGGACAATTTTACTGGTAAGATTAAATGAATGAATGTTCTAATGAAGTATAATGACATTATAATATTATGGTATGTTTATATACAGTGTTTTTTAAAAATATTTCACCATACAGTGTTGATGGCAGTAAAGCTACGGAAAGACTCGGACGATTCATAAATGATGACCACATCAAGCCAAACAGCAAAATTAAAATAGTAAGTCTGTATTTAATGTTTCCGTATTCTTTGTCTTATTCTTTGTTTTAATTACTCCTTTTATACAGCCTCATCTTGATTGTAGCATTATTTGACATTACAAACTAGGCAACTATTCAAATGTGTGTTTGTGTACTTTTGTGACCAACAGATAATGGATGAAAAGAAAATGCCACATCTGTGTTCATTTGCGTTAACAAAAATCAATGCAGGAGAAGAAATTGTCTATGACTACGGAGATCCTAACTGCCCATGCAGACAGGTATTTCAGCTTCTATTTCTATATATTTGTGTCTTATTTTTATTATTTTATCAAGAGGTGAGGAAAACTTGGTAACACTTTACAATAAGGTTCATTGGTTAAGAATATGAGCAATACATTTATTGCAGTATTTGTTAATCGTTGTTAACAGTAGTAAAAATACAGCTGTTCATGTTAGTTCATGCTTAGTTCATGCTGTTCATGTTAGTTCACAGTGCAGTAACTAATGTTAACTAATAAAACTTTTGGTTTTAATTATGCATTACTAAATGCTGAAATTAACATGACCTAAGATTAATAAATGCTGTAACAGTGCAGTTCATTATAGGTTCATGTTTACTAAATTAATTATCTAATTTAAACTGAAATCTGTATTACCATGATTAAAATAATGCCTCAATACCCTACATATTGATGCATGCTTTTAATGTAATTTGTTTCAGAAAACCTGTACTTCCACATTCAGAGAGATCAAGGAAAATATGGTAAATATATAGAGAGAGGTTTGTTCCTTCAGCTGAGTTTACTAAGAACTGTATACACTGTATAACATTTTTTTACATTTAAATATGCATTTTCTAAATGCTTTTATGCATTTTACAGGAATCACGATGGAAGAATTCATTTGTAAACCTTGATTTAAAGCCTGGTGTGATGAAAATTGATGACCTTATCATCAACACAGAAATGAAGATTGCAAATGGATGCAATGCTGCTGAGATTTTCCCAGGAGTCTTCAACAACTGCAAAGTTGCAGTGAAACGAGTTGCCAAACATGTTTCCAAAACTGAAATGGAAATGGCTCATTTCCTGAGTTCAAAAAATGTACAAGCAGAGCACCTTCTGCAACACATGTCAGTGTTGGAAGACACTTACTTTGCCTATTTTGTCTCACCTCTTTGTGAATATAGTTTAATGGAGCTGATTGAAAACAAGGATTTTCCCGAAAGAAAAAGCCTGATAGAGAATCGAAGACTAGAGATCTGCCAGTTACTGCAAGGACTTCAGGAACTGAATTCATATGGAATTTTGCACAGAGACCTGAAGCCTGAAAATATTTTGTTTGGTAAGAGCAGTCTGTGGATTAACCATAATTATCCTGTAATATCAGCAAAAATTACCAGTTAAAATACATAAGCATATGATAATGTGGATGTCATTTTAATTGTTAAAGTTTTTATGGGCATTTGTACTTTTCTACAGATATCAACAACAAACTGTACATCGCAGACTTTGGAGCAAGCAGAAAACTGGATCTGGCACAAACCACACTGCTCTCTCAAATGGCTGGATCTTTTTCTTGGTCAAGTTTTGAAGATGTTGGAGGCATGCAATACAAATACAAGAAAGAATCAGATATCCAGGTAAGGGTAGAAAATATCTTGTTAAAACCTGTTAATTTGTGGGAGGATGCCGGCACATTGAAGTGTTCTTTAATTAATTGCATGTAGTTGCAAAGTTACATATAGTCAGCATAATGGCTTTTGGGGTTCATCACAATAAAGTGTTAAAAAAAACTGCACAAATATGCTCCACAAACAAGTTGACAGAAAGGAAACCCCCAAAAAGGGGCATTTCAAAATTTTGAAAACCACTGGTAGTGCACTAAACACTCTCATGTATTGTTTTTTGCATTCATTAAAGGAGTCATAATGTGCAATTTTCACTTTTCCATGAGAATCAATGTATGTTATGATTGACTAACGATTATACATTGGCCGGGATGCCGATATTCAAAAGTGAAGCGTTTGTTTACCCCAGGGTTCTTAAAGGTGCTCTAAGCGATGTCACGCGTTTTTTAGGCCAAAACATTTTTTGTCACATACAGCAAACATCTCCTCACTATCCGCTGGCTGCCTGTCCCCTGAACACACTGTAAAGAAACGCGATCTCTGTAGACAGCCCAGGCTCCACACACAGCAACAAAAACAAACTGCAGCGACCCGCTCCCCAAAACATAACAAACTGTTCTAGCCAATCACCGACAAGAAGGGTTTGGGGGGTTAGTGTGCGGATGAGGAGGAGGGAGGGTCTAGCTAGCCTCCGTTTTGTTTGACAATAGTTCGAACGTCAACAAGAAGTGACGTCACCCAGGATCGCTTAGAGAACCTTTAAACTAGCCAACGTGCACGCGCACTCAAATACGAGATTTCAATTTCTCCCCCGACTTGACGTCAAGACGGGGCCGGATATACCATATATGGACACCGCAGAGGAGGCCCGCCCTGCCCCTCTCCCCATCATATTCAGTGACAGTCAAGAAAGATGCAGAAACGTAGTGCACACGTGAGTTGCTCTGTGGTTGACTGTCATGATCCACATTCTAATGTTTTTTCTTTACCCAAAACTGACCAAACTACAAGGGACAAGTGGATGAAATTTATTTTCAATGACGCTGTTCCAACAACCATCTCAACTTGCTCAACGTTAGGTGTCCGCGCTAAACATTTCACAAAAGAATGTTTTACAAATTTGGGGCAATATCACGCGAAGTTGGCATCGAAGCTACGTTTGGAAAAAGGTGCCATTCCAACAATCAGGGACTTGCCTGAATTTGAAACGGTAAGACTGTGTTTTTATTACTATATTTTGTGTAAATAGCAGCTAACTAATGCGGTTAATGTATGTGATGTAAACACGGGGAATGGACTCGACGAATGCTAGCCACATCTTTCCACTTTAAACAGACTAGAAAATGATACAGCTATTATTTAATATAATCGTATACAACATAACAATGACAACATATCATTGTATTGATTTTTTTATATAATAGATAAGGATAGATATTAGATACATTTAAAAAACAGTCAAGAATTAATAAACATAAAGAAAAACATAACGTTACATGTCTGCAGATGAAAATTATTAAATATCTAAAAAACCACAACGTCAAAAAAGGCAAAAACAACACATTTTGGCAAACGTTAATCTCTATAACCACTGTGAGCTGAAAATAAAGTAGACTACATCTCCGTTAATGTAATCTACATTAAATTAAAGCTAAACTTATTTGGGAGAAAATAGCAAAAAAACGTTTTAGCTCGTTACTGATGTTAATGTATATGTCTCAGTCAAAAAAATTGTCTTTACCATTCAGAGACATGTTGATGTAGACGTCCTTCAATTGACTGTTGTTCCTCTTCCGTTTCCAGCTCTGGTTCAGAGTCTGGCTCAAACATATACGGTTGAATCCCGTAGGTCGCGGCCAGGTCGGGTTCATTAACAACTTGCTCCATGATCTCTTTTTGTAATGATATGCTGAAGTTACCTGCGGTGTCAAGCCCCCTCCTTCCTGCCACCAATCAACGCGCCCCTCATTTGCATTATTAAAATGACCGTCCATGACAGCCAAAACCTCGCATCAGATCTCGCGAGACAATAATGCATTCAGAAATAAGGGTCAAACGAGCTCTCTGTTTATTTTTTTCCAATTTTTCTTTTTTAGAAGGGCATGAAATGACTATAATAGAGCGTGGGTATCAAAGTTAATACTACATTATGACTCCTTTAAAAGATTAATTCTGACCTCATGTAGAAAGTCCAAAACTTACTAAAACAAATGCAATTATGATGTTCCATGAAATTCCTTATTTACAGTACTGGGTAGATAACTTTAATATTGTAGGCCTACTCAGTTACTGATTCCAAATTACATGACACAAATTGCAGTCAGTGATATTATCTAAATAATTTACAATTTTATTAATTTTATTACAATAATTTACAACTTAATTCACTAAATTATTTACAAATAATTTACAATCCTGAAATCTAAATCATTTTAGGTAATGTAATTGGACTATGTTTTGATTACTTTTGATTACCTAACAAATTTACCACATGGATTTCAATAGGATAATCTTGTACCATATTGATATAATACAATGAGAAAGAATATATATATATATATATATATATATAAAAAAGTGTATTAACTATTGCATTAGGTCAGGGCTTCTCAGACTGGGGTTTGTGATGGAACTACAGGGGTTTGTGAGTTTAATGAAACTCTTTAAAATTATTAATTCATAATTTTTTTTTTTTTTTTTTTTTTTTTTTTGAAAGACAAAAGCCTTTCAAAAGACTGTAATATGAGGTTAAATGAGTGGCGATTCAAATAATGAACATGTTTGTTAGGAGATGATTCGATATGCAATGTTGCAATGTTGAGAAAACACTGTGAAATGAAACAATTTCTGTAAATCCAGTGATCAATTGCTGTATTAGTTTTCAGTGATAGTCAGTTGTGCAGTTCCACAAAACTGAAGAGCTTCTGAACATATATAAGCTTTTTAGAAAGAAAAAGTAAAAAAGATAAATTATTAGTAGTAGGGAGAACCAAATATGTAATCCAGATAACATGTAATCAGATACTACCCAACACTGCTTATATGGACATCCAGCTGTCACTGTAAATTAACGTAAAGCAGGTATAAACATTATGAATAATATAGTATAATATGAAGGAAAAAATATAATCTTGGGTATTTACATAAGAATTCACACTATTTTTACTACAAAATGTCATAGTGCATAAGTACACCAATTTGATTATTTATTTATTCGTACATGCCGTTTTACAACATTTTTGTTTTATGTCCATGAACGGAAAAAAAGGAACAGGAAGAAGAAATAATCTTGTAATATCTGTCGCTATTTGTGCACATAAAAAAAAACAACAGTAAAAAACAGCTGCTTTATGAATGGATCAACCCCAATCCTCACCCCAATCACCAAATATTTTCAGTAATACCTATCTTTACACTTAATTATCACCATTAATATAATTTTCTTTGTAACATTCCTGTATTTTTCTCTTATGCAAATTCTTCTGTTTTTGTAATACGTGCAAAAAAAGTTTTAAAATAATATTGCCGCCTTTGGCCATCTTCCTCTGATACGAGAGTGAATACATTTTGTAACGTCCTATGCAGAACTCTCTGCTTTGCTTTCCACATAAAAATCAAAATCTTCAAATCAACCAAACCTTTGAATTTTAGCAGTCTAGAACTTACAAATAAACTATTGGTGTGTTCTCTGTAGCCTGTCTTGTTTATAATCCTTAATGCTTTTTTCTGTAACAAAAACAGAGGTTTTGTGTTACTAGGGTATGTATTACCCCAGACCTCTGTGCAGTATCCAAAATATGGAAGTATTAGGGAATTGTACAGCATATGCAATGAAGAGTAGTCTAAAACATCTTTAACTGTGTACAAGACCCCAATGCTTTTACACACTTTACTCTTAATATAAACTATGTGATCTTTACAATTCAATTTATCATCCAAAAAAACACCAACACATTTTATTGCATTAACTCTTTCAATATCAGTTCCTTCAATGGGCTCTATGCACGGCCGTATTTCCGGTGAAGGTCTAAGGATGCTGGATTACTTCCGCCGATTGTAGAGTCCAATGCTATACCGAAAATGTATATTGGCTTTTATACTCTATGGATATACTAAAGAAACGTTAGTCACAAAAACAGACAAAACAGCCACCCCTCATTTTGTTTATGCTTCTTTGTTTATTATATTACCGGTAAATAAACATAACTATATATAAAATTACATCTAAACGTATTAAAGTTTTGTTTCAAAGACGGAAGAACAGTACATTTTGTAGGCTCTGCCATAATGCCGTTTTCCTCGGTTTTCCTCCGCTTGAAATCTCCCCAACCGGAAACTGAAGAGCATCCTTGTGTCAAATGCCGAACTTAAGCGTGCATATAGCCCATTGGTATTTTTAGCTTTTTGCGATTACCAAGAATCATGTATTTTGTTTTCTCCCAATTTAAACATAATTTGTTTTTGTCAAACCATTTCTTAATTTTTACCATTTCTGAATTTATATTTTCTGTAATTTCTGACAGATTATTTTCAGAGTAAAAAATGTTAGTATCATTGGCAAACATCAAAAACTTTAATATCTTAGACACTTCACAGAGGTCATTAATGAACAAAATAAAAAGTAACGGACGGACCCTTGTGGAACTCGACATATTATGTCTTTTAACTCAGATGTTTTACCATTACTTTGAACAAACTGCTGTCGATTATTGAGATAACTTTTGAGCCATTGATGAGCCAGACCCCTAATGCCACAGTTGAATGATTTTGACAATAGAAAACTGTGATTTATGGTATCAAATGCTTTGCTAAAGTCGATAAAGACCCCCACTGTGTATTGCTTATTCTCAGTTGCAGATGTAATTTTTCCTATGAGTTCAATTAATGCCAAAGCTGTTGATCTTTTTTCTCTAAAGCCATATTGTTTTTCAGTAATTCTTTTATGTTTTTCTAAAAAAAGTATTTATTTTTTGAACAAACAACTTTTCAAGGATTTTAGAAAACTGAGAGAGCAATGACACTGGTCTGTAGTTGTTAAAGTGGTGTACATCTCCATTTTAAAAAAGTGGAACGACCTTAGCAACCTTCATCTTCTCGGGAAAGACACCTGACTGTATAGACAAATTACAAATTAAAGTCATTGGTTTAATAATACAGTCAATGGTCCTTTTTACAACGGTCATGTCAAGTCCGTCACTATCAATAGATGTTTTATTTTCACATTGGCTAGCAATATAGGCAAAATGTAATTTTTCCTGAACTTCACCCAACATCGATTGCATTATTCTACTTCCCATTCTACAGGTGGCATTTTGACTATGTTTAGATATGTCAATTGATTTGGCATTATTTTCCCCAATATTAATAAAAAATTAATTAAATTCATTGGCCACATCTATGCTATTGTTCATAACAATTTCATTGTATTCAAAATATTCAGGTAACTTTATATGTTGTGAATTTGGTTTCATTATATTATTTAATATTTCCATGTTGTTTTCACATTTCCTTTATTATCTTTAATTTGTTTATTGTAATAATCCCTTTTAGTTTCTCTTAAAATTGTCGTCAATTTGTTTTTGTATTCTTTGTATTTGGCCTCACAATTGGGGAACCTATTTTTTTACAAATTTATTTACTATGCCTCATCAGATCACAGAAGGAAGGTATTTCAAACACTTGAATGACCTTATAAGTGAGTTAGGAGCAAAAACATGGTTTTGATCTAATAAAATTGTTTTGGTTTGATGCTGTGTAAAAAAAAAAACATGCCACTTAGTCCTTATTTACCTGTTACCAAGAGAGATTATTTTGTCATATGCTACTTTCACACTATGTTGCAATTATCACAATTTAAAAACATTCTACTTAGAACTGTTCAGTTCATTCAACTCGTAATAATGTGTTTTATGGCAAAACTATCAATGTCTAAATTATTCTGCAGTGGTAAGGTAGTACAGGTACAAGTCAAAGCTCTCAGGAAATTCCCAGTTTAGAAGTTGTTAGGGACTGAGATATATATTCAAAATAGACTTGACCCTCCCTTCGCCCCATTGTATACGAATGGGTCTATATAGGCCTATAAGTTGCGTCAATAAAAAAATTAGGGGGGTTGGGTGGGTGTAGATTAAAAGTTTACATGTATGCAGTTATAATACTATTTTAGTGTGACCACTATGAGTAATTAAAATAAAATATATAGATATCAGTTCTGCCAAAAATGCATACACTTGTTCTATGTTCAATTGTCCTGAATGCTAATATTCAGAGCAGCTTTCATCTAATGAGCACAGCAGCATTTGCTCATTATTTCAATCATCTTTATTCATTCTGTACAGTTTATTTGTGACCATTACTGAAATAATTTTTGAAATAATCTTTTATTTCAAAGGTCGCAGGGTGCTTGGTGCATTACATCCTGACGGATGGGCAACACCCCTATCAGACAACTACACCCTACTCAAAGGATCCATTTGGGCTATCTCAAAATGTCAAAATGGGTAACTTCATTCTTCAATGTGAAGAAACATGGACAAGACAAAAATATATTATTAGCAGAATGCTGTCTAAATCGATTGAAGAACGTCCCACCATTGAGGAATGCCTTCAGTCTTTCACATGTATGTTCCAAGACATACACTCTTCTCTTCACCTCATTAATAAAACATTGTAGATTTTACAAGAATGTAGTAAAAAAAAAACACACACACACATTGTCTCTTTCTCTCTCACACATATGTAGGCTAGTTATAAACTCTTTAGACTTTTAATGATTAGTGCTTTATTTTTAACCCTTTAAGTGTCACCCCCTTTTTTTAAATATATACATGAAAATGCACATTTCAAACTTAAATGGTTGTAATTCAAGAATGCTTTGGAATATAGACGTAAGATTGGTCTTGTTTTAAAGACATTTGGCATTTTTGTAGAAGTGAAATAAATTAAGAAAGTGAAACAGAAAAAAAGTTATAGAAGTTTGAGTTTATGAAAATGTACAATGTAAAAAATTTAATTATTCATATTTTATATAAAATATATATTTTCAAAACCTGGGCAACTCTAAAACTGCAAAAAAATCAAAGCCAAAAATCTGAACAAGTTGTGTTTCAAATTTTAGGTTGATATCTCAAAAAATTAGCTTTCAGTAAGATTTTGTTTGGGCACAGTACCAAAATTTTTCACTAGATGACAACCAGACTCCATTACTGCCCATATAAGGGTGCCTCCATTTCCATATGTGTTTTGAGTGATCTGAACCATTATTTCCACAATTGTCATACAATTTATGAAGTAGGCATCCTATTCAGAAGTAATATGAGAAGTTTGGCAGATTTTGATATGAATTCAACCTCTAAGAAACACATAAAAAGAACAAGTATGTGCGTTATAGCTTCCTGCCACATCACAAATAGTGAATCTATAAATTTTTTTCTTTATATTTAAAAAAATTCAGACCTTTTTTTCTAAAATAATTGAATGGATGCTATCTTTTGAACTCTTGGCATGAAAACAAACAGGTTTCTACCCTTCTTTCATGATTTTTCATGTTCATCACGAAATAAAGGTCTAAACACGCCTTAGGAGTATGAAAATATTATTGTTGCAAATTGATAAATTACGGCTCCTCTGTAATTTATTTTGAAAATCAATCATGGAAACTAGAGATTGTAAGCTTTCAAATGATATATAGTTTGTCAAGATTAGTTTAGGTTTAATATAGGATATTACTGTTTTAAAAATGTAATGGATTTGGGCCCACCGGTGGGCCGGTGACACTTAAGAGTTTGTGGTTAAGAATCGTGTAGAAAAAAAAATCCCTTATTTTGGAAATGGATTCCGGGAAATCTCCCTTATTTTCAATGTTCAATGTTGACAGCTATGGCGTATGCACGCTTTGTACATGAGGCCCCACTGCCCAGGTCTCTACGGTAGCATTTTTCGTCAAGTTAGCTCGTTTCGATAGAGCAGGGTGCAGCGGGTGCACGGCTTTGTATTACAGAGGACAAATTACGGGTGTGGACATGGGATGGAGTTCAATTGTCTGATTGACTTAAATATATGAGAATGATAGTCAAAATACCATAAAAGCGCATGATTTTATGAAAATTAATATGAAAAAAGTCTCAGCTGTGTTGGGGGCCCTGCCAAGATTCTTTTCATGGGGCCCAAAATCCTTAGCAGCGCCCCTGCTTTTGCGCAATGAAAAATTATTAATAGCTTTTTTTGTTCTGTTCTGTCCTATCTATCATATGTTGCTGCCTCATTAAACAGCTGTGCTATACACTTAAAAATGTCTTAATTTTATAGTAGACTATATATAATAATTGATCTTTCTGAATTTTATCTTGTTTTTCATGAATGTATTTTACAACAATACAAATAGCAATATGTAACGTTTTACTTGATTTAGTGCTACACTTATTGTCTCTGTTCCCCCACTAAATGTTTTTTTCACTAAATGTTCAGATTTTATACAATTATTGTTTTTCTAGGCCAAATTTTACTGAGTTATCCACTAATCTAGTTTATAATATAATTTTTGTCATAGGTTATGATCATATATATTTTTTGATTTGTTGTTTTTATTTATAATGAAGTTGTCTGTATTAAGTAGATTGTGTTTAACACACAAAAGAGTGATTATCAGTTCAACAGAGTTATAGAAATTCTACCTGATTTAAAAAAAAAACTGCGCTGGTATTGGACCGGTATCGGTTGATACTCCGAATTTTTGGTATCGGATTGGATCGGTTCAGTAAAAATAATATCGGGACATCCCTAATATTTTCTGGTAGGCTATATCTAAGTTACCCAGGAGCTCTGTTGACAAAGGCTTAGCTTGATGAATTGAGTCGTTGAACACAGCAGGAGGGAACACAACATTAGCCAGCTAGCTAAAGCTCTGGTGGAAAATTATTAGCTAACGCTTCGGAGGCCATAATACTTTTGACTCATGGCTGAAGTTAAGTTTCTCCAGCTCTCCAGGTTGGCAAAAAATGCATCTCAAAATGCATCAGATTGATGCTTTAAAATATGGAATATTTAAAAAATTTCTTCCGGGGGAGCATGCCCCCGGACCCCCCTAGAGGGGTAATATCCGTCTCAACTTTTTCACCCCTGACCCGTTTTCATGCCTGCTATAGTTCCTTTTACAGACTTATACAAGCAGACTGTTGGACTGATTTGTGTGTGTGTGTGTGTGTGTGTGTGTGTGTGTGTGTGTGTGTGTGTGTGTATAGATAGTTAAAGCTCCTGTAGGTAACTTTTGAAAACATGTATTTGCTAAAACTGTCATTATGTCCTGACAGTAGAATATGAGAGAGATAATCTGTGTAAAAATCAAGCTACTCTGGCTCCTCCCAGTGGTCCTATTGCCATTTGCAAGAAATACACGCTCCCGGTCAGAAACAACCAATCAGAGCCAGGAGGAGTGTCTTAGCAGTGTCAATCACGCTCGTGTCCGCGCTGATCACACCCCTCTCTTGCACAGCGCGAGCCGTCGTTCAAACTCAAGATTGCCGGCGTGCTGCAGCTGTGCTTATGACGGAGAAACAACCTAAACTGCCAATTCTCGAGTGACACCTGCTCATAAAACAAAGAGGTAAAAGGAAAAAGACCGATGACGATAAACAAGCGAAAAAGAAAGAATTACACAGAGCCCATTGACTCGGTGTCAAAACTCTAGCTGCATAACATGTAGATGTAAAATGTCACGCACTCTGCTAAGCAACAATTGAAACCTGCTAATTCACTGGCTTGTCATGTTGCTGAAATAATGTACTAGCACACCTTATCTAGCATTATATATCGCTAGAATAAGTACTTACTTACTGTAACGTTAGTTACCGTTATATTAACGTTATCTTACTAGCTATTTATAACTTATAGATAGAGTGCAACGTTATAAAGTTACATGTAGGCTATTGGAAAATACATAATGATTTGAGGACCAAGTTTGTAGTCAAAGTATGGGCAGGCCATAGTCAATGTAAAGCATATTATTGACGTTTAGTCCCTATTAGTGAATGTGCCATATAACTTTTTATCCGCTGTTATGGGTGGGCCTGTTTACTAGCCTCCGCGTTCACGACAGGCTCCGCTGTGGAGGACGAGCTGTGGAGGGAGGGCTGTAGCGCAGCAGAGAGCAAGGGGGTGCAGGGACCTGTAAGTTGTGCTTGTTCAAATTTTCAGGCTAAGTCAACGTTTTCTCAACTCCCTACTGCAGCTTTAAATAGATATAGATAAATATCTATATACACAGTATTTTATATTCATTTTTTTAATATTATTTAATATTCATGTATTATTTATTTGTGTTTCTGTGAATAGCTGTTACAGTTCTACAAATAAAGCATTCTATCTTTTTACCTATCAATTAAATTAAATAAAAAATGCACCTGAATGCAGGAAATTAAGGCTGCGTTCCAAACCGCATACTCAATGAGTAGGTACTTAATTTCAATGAGTACTTACTCAACGAGCGCGAAAAGAGTAGGTACTTCATAGCCAAATCTCGTTGAGTATGAATGCGATCCGGACATCATCCGCCATGTTGACGTTATCATGTGACCTATGACGTTATCACAAGCGCAACAATTTAAAAGTTATGAGCAACAGGTGCACCGACATCTCACTGCATCAGTACAACCTAACTAGAACAGTTTTCATCAGCGTCTGAAATGGTTGGCATGTCTGCAATAGCTAGACGAATGTGTGGACAAAGGAGACGTCGGGCTGCTGCTCGGAGATCTCGCCTTTGGAGAAGACTGATGATTTTATACTCAAACAAAGCAAGTATTACTACTTAAAAAATTAAGATTACCCCAGAATGAATTGCATTACTAGCCCACCCCAACACTTATGCACAATAATGACAAATGCTGACCAGCACTTAATTATATAACATTTTCTTAATTAAAATTATATATTTTGGTAAAACAAGCAAACTGTTGTATTGTCATATGACATAGATGTATGAATACACACTAGACAAATGCAGCTGATGTGAATACATACAATTTCCTTCAAGCAATGGTTAATGCAAGAATTAATGAAATGAATATTTTATTGAAACATGAATAAATATTTAATATGAAACATGAATAAAAATAAATGAATGAATAAAATATATCATATCACTATAAAGAAATACATATACAAGTCAATACCATATGAAACATTGCTTAATTCAAGCTTTTTGTTCTAACAAACTATGATGTATTTACAGGCGGTGAACCCCACATCATACTGCCATCTCAATAGAGCGGTTCCCATTCTGCGGCTTTATCTTGATGAAGCAGCTGACCACCGTGCCGCCCACCTTCGCCTGTCTATGCCGTCCATCAGGTCCCTGATTGCTGCAGTCAGACTGGAATCGGACCATGGATGGGAACGGGAGATTGAGGTCCTTGTGTTCCTGCACTGGCTGGCCCATGCAGCATCCTACAGGGTGGTGTCGCAGGCCTTCGACATCCCAAAGACCTCTGTGTATTAGGGCTGTCACTTTTGAGAAAAATCTAATTCGAACGGATATCGAATATCAAGCAATGTATTCGAATATATTCGAATATCTACGAGCGCCCCCCACCCCCACCAAAAAAAAAAAACACCGTAACGGAAATCACACATTTATTAACAGTCTGACAGTCATAACCAGGACTCAGGCCTGTCTGAACTTTTTTTTTTTACTTAATGTTTTAAACAGCAAGTTATCAACTTAATCTATATGAAGTGTCACTATGCATAGCAAATCACAAAATCACAAATAGGCTACTTATGGGAAAAAACTGAAGCGGAACAGCACGGCACAAACAATAAAGTGACAACTTAAACAGCAGCAGGAGTAAGGCCTATATAGCCTAGCCTAATTCATTTCTTAATATTGTTTGCTAGAAACACCAATTTATCAACTTGATCTGGATCAAGTGCGGCTCTCTTTTTATTGACGATGTTCCCCGCGGTGGAGAACACGTGCTCGGAGCGCGCACACGTGCCTGGCACACATTTGCGCGTCTTTACATGGACCCTTATAATCGGATTGACGGCTCAATCGGACTAAAAAAACCTTCATGTAAACACCTTAATCGATCCGATGGTTTACTACTTTTGTAATCCGATCGAAAGAACATGTAAACACTTGATCAAATTGAAAACCGAAACTAAAAGGACTGCGCATGTGCAATGACGTATTACGCACGGAGCGAGCTGTTCTTCCTGTTGAATAAAGTGTCATATAAATGAGTGTTCCGTTAGAAAAAATTGAAAAAATCTCATTTCACTCAGCGTCTGTGAAGTGGAGCAGAACAACGTCCCACCAGTACTTGTTTCAGATTCTCATCCACAGACGACTGGTTTTGGGCGCGGGGTTTTACTGCGTGATCAATATAAGCAGCACGGCAAATCATGCTCATCGTCTCCAAATCATGACCAGAGACGGATAAATATTAAGTCTGCTGTTTAAAACAAATAAAGAACCAAGAGAGGAGAGTAGTTATGCGCGAACAGCGGCATATTCGTGCAGTGTGCGCATGTCAAAAAGTAAATTCCGATTTGAATCTTGTGACATATAACGCGCACATTACTTTATGTATCGTTCATGTAAACACCGTGTTCGGATTCATCAATCGGATTGTCCATTTCCAGACACTACTTTTTAGATGAGTTGGAGTAGAAATTGTCCGCTCAGGCTGGCCGTTCTGTGCGTTATCTTCCATTTTCAAAACAGGGTGGCTATTGGCTATTATTCGCTTGATTTGGTCATGAGCTTACGCTACAATACGTTTAGAGTGCCCGCTACTGGATGAGATGGCAAACAATAAAATAAAAAACAAACGGTCTAATCATAGACTGTAAAAAATGCGCTAAACATGGCACTTTAAAAACCGGTTAGTTTATTTATAGTTCGATTACGGATATTTCACGTCATGTTCGAATGCATATTCGAATATCGAATAAAAAGTGACAACCCTACTGTGTATAACATTGTGCACAGAGTGAGCAAGGCCATCATGGGAATTTTGAGGAGGGTGATCTGTGTAGCCATGGTCAGATCTGCCATTTTCTTAAACTGCTGGTTTTGCATTCTTTTAATTCAGAAACTATGACAAAAGGGTCATTGGAACTGCTGATTAGATTACCGAGTCACTCACAAAGCCTCTCTGTTGTAATTTGCCACACAAAGCAAATGGGGCTTGGATTTGATTGAATTACTGACTGGAATCAGAATCACGTGGAAGAACCCCTCCGAAGGTGACAAGACGAACATTGTCCATTCAGATAAGCGCACACACGTGGAATCCCCCTTTGGGGTTTTTCGCTTACACACACACAGAAGAGAATTGTGAGATTAGACAACTGGCCATTGTAGCCGTTGTTAAACTCATCAAATTCGAAGCACCCACGCTCACACGGGACTGGTCGCGAGTTCACCCCCCCCCCGTCACCATCGGTCAATGAACTCTGAACATACATACATACGCATGAACACACACGAAATACTCTGAACACATGGGATCAAAAATCCCCTTTTGTAAATGTATAATGTTTTGTGATTGTGTTTTCATGATTCCCTGATGACAAAACTGGTATAACTGTAAGCTGTTATGATATGTGACCAATTTAACATCCGTTTTAATCACGAAAATCATGTATCTGCATTTCACTAAGCCCTAGGAATGCCGAATTTGGTATGGTTGTAATCAGAATAATCAAAGAAGATTGAATCATCAACCCAAAATGTAATATGATGCATGCTTTTATTAATACTAGTTTAGAAGTGTGTTTCGAACAAGTTTATCCCCTATGCACATGATCCGTAAGGCGTGAATCACGAGGTCTGACGACCCGCCTTCCTGCAACACGATTGGATCAAACACGTGAGGAAGGCGTGTCCCTCGCTCCTTCAAAATAGACCGCCACCTTATCCTCTGTGCAGTTTCCTACGCCAGAGAGAGATGCCTAAACTTTCCTGCTAAACTCCAGCCGGAGTTTTCCTTCTTCGTCGTTTTTCTACTTTGTTTTAAATCTAAGTTGCTTTCTTTCGATCTACCTCAGTTGATAGTTCGGTTTCATTCAAGAACGAAACAAGTTTAAGATTAATCGCCTCTCGTACGGGCCGCAGCTGAAGCAATCGCAAACATCTGCCTCCTACCGGAAGACGTGCCAGACAACTCCAACCACGCTGTCTTTGTAACACAACTCAACACAAAGGGACCGTGTTTAAATCAAGTAACGTACAAATCTCAATTAAGTGCTGCTTAAAGTTGTCTCGATTAATATTGGAATCCTTTGGGTCTCTGTTGAACTGTTTTGAACTGTCTCTCTCTCTCTCTCTCCCTCTCTCTCTCCCTCTCTCTCTCACCTCCCTCTCACTCTAACTGTCTCCTTTTAAATACGTCATATTGCAATCCTGTATTAATTGTTTGTTTTGATATGCATATTATTTACTCCTGCGTGATTTTTAGTAGTCTATATAACCCTTAGTATTGTGTTATTAAAATTCCATAATCCTTTGAATCGAATCTGTCTCATTGTCCCATGATTGAAGTCTCTGTAATATGTCAAAGATCTGTAAGTTACCAAAGCTCTACCTCGGTTAACTATTGTAAACATCTGAAAGTGCCGTATACGAGCAGATACTTCCGTGTGGCCAGCGGAAAATATTCACTCGGTATACAGGCAGGTAATCTTGTGATATAAGGAAGTTTTCATCTCCGATTCGCAGGACGAACCAGGATGCATGACAAACTAATTTGGAATCACATGTAAATTGACCCTGACAATTAATCTGACTTAACCAAACCAAATATCAATAATTACTACGATCAATCGTGTTAATTATTCATATATGGTAATGTTTAGTCCATTCCCTATTTGGGATAATTTAATTTATGTATGCGATTACATATTCATTATCTAATGAATAATATTCCCCATTTGAGTTAAATAATTTCCCCAAAACAGACTCATTTTCGCTACATCTGCTTTCCGACCGGAGATGACCTGGAGGCAGTGGGAGCAGGATTTGCACAGCTGTCTGGGCCACCAGCTTTCAGCAGAGCAGTTGGTGCAATAGACGGCTGTCATATTCGTATCAAACCTCCAGCAAATAACTCCCACTGCTACTTCAACAGAAAGCTGTTTCACTCCATCCAACTCCAGGCCATCACTGATCACCGGGGGAAATTCCTTGATGTGATTGTGGGGTATCCTGGGTCTGTGCACGATGCCAGGGTGCTGAGGAACAGTCCAGTGTATGCTGGCAGTGTATATCCACCTGCAGGAGAGTGCATCCTCGGGGATGGAGGCTATCCTTGCCTGAGTGCACCCATCTGCCTCATCACCCCGTACAGAGAGCCGCTGCAGAACCCCTTTGCAGGCTCGTTTCAACAGCAAGCACTCCCGTGTCCGCAACATCGTGGAGAGAGCGTTTGGGATGCTGAAGACACGCTGGCGCTGTATCTTCTTCAAGGCCTTGGAGGTGAGCCCTGCCTTCGTGCCTGAGGTTGTTGCGTGCTGCGCTGTGCTTCACAATCTCGCTCTAGCCAATGGGGACATCGTTGAGCCAGAGGATGAGGAAGACCATGATGACGGCCCCCCTGATCCCCACAACCTTGAAGCAAGAGTGGGAGAACAAGTGCGGGACAATCTGGCTGCTGCAGTGTCTGCTCCAAACATCCCTGTGCCGGCTCTCCAGGAGCATGACTACCTTTAAAACATTAAGAAAGATCAAAATGTTTTAAAATTCATGTTGTCAGCATTCAGTTTCTTGACAAATGTCATTTTATAGGTTTACAATTACATGCAAATATTTGTTAGAGCTTTAAAACCTTTTGTAGTGTAGGGGGATAAACCAATGAACTGGTTAGAAGAAGATTGCTGGTCAATCAGCAAGGCTCTTTACTCCAGGTTTGTCCAGGGTCATTGTCCCTGTAAATAAATGGAGTTAATCACTTTTGATAAAAAATATGTCAAATGCATAAATGTGATTGATATTTGTAAAGCATTTTTTGAACCAGTCATGGGCATAAACAGTCAAAGCTGCTTAGTTTGTCAAGGAATTACTATAATGCAAAATGCATACATAAATTTACTACAATTTATATTTGGTGGGTTAAAGGGTTAGTTCACCTCAACATATAAATACAGCAATTGTTTACGGTTTACTATTTACTTATTTAATGTTTTTTATTGTTTAAATACAAAAGGGAATTTTTGTCAAGTTTGTTCTGCTGGTTTCATACAATATCAGTCAATGGGGCCCAACTTTCAGAAGCTTCCTGGCATTATTTAATGACGCTTCTGAAAGTCCATTGACTGATATTGTATTAAACCAAACAGTACAAACCTGACCAAAATCACCTTTTGTGTTCAGGAAAACAAAAAACAGAGGGATCAAACAACATCAAGGCGAGTAAATAATGACTATTGAATTATTACTATTATGATTTATTTGCTTGGGTTAAGTAACCCTTTAGTCACTATTTTACTGTGTGTAATTTGTGTAAACAGTCTCAAGTTCAGCTTTGGTCATGGAGGGCTATTATCCAGCAGAGTTTTTCCAACCCTAATTATACACCCCTGAATCAATTTAAACCAATTAATAACTGACTACTTGAAATTTACTGACAGGTGTGCTGGAACTTAACCCTCCATGACCTGCCTTTAAGATCCTTGCATGAACTCTGTAAACCTTTAAAAGTCATATAATACACTCCAGTAAAACCAGTGTTTTAAAGTGTTTTTTCTTCTTACATTACACCATACATTCACTAATTATTAATCAACGTTTCATAAATATTTAATTTATGAATTTGATTACAATCTTAAAGTATCACTAAATTTCTAGAAGTCTACAATGTACTGTGAATGCCTAGAAATAGTTTGTTTTATATACATATTATTGTACAAAATTCTTAGGCCACCATTTGTAGTTGTTGCACAGTACTGTGTGTATATATATATATCAGTACCGTATCTATATATAGATTCCCATTTTTATTCACAAATTTAATTCACATCAACCCAAATGTGCAAAAGATCAGAAGATGTTTTTTGTCAAATAATTTATTTTTTGGCGAGCATCTGAAGAACAGAAAGGAACCTTTCATCCCTTTCGTTGGTTTCTCTTTCTCTCCTTTCCTCTCTCTCGACTGCCTCCCGGTGCCATCTCTCTTCTCTTTCTCTTACTTCTCTTTCTTGTCTTTCCTCTCTCTCTCGTCTCTCCCGTTCTCTTCTGTCCTCCTTCTCCTCCATTTCTCTCCACAGCCTCTCCTCCCTCTCAGCTGCCTTCCGCTCTCTCTCCTCTTCTCGCTCCTCAATGTCCCGGATCAGCTCCTCCACATCTATAGCCCTTTTCCTGGCTCTTGCTGGCTCTTGCCTCACTGAGGATGAAGAGACCACAGCAGTATCCGGCCCACATGAGGCAACGAGGGCAGGAGGAGAGATGGAGGGTCTGCCCCCAATTGCCTCATCCATGGCAGTGTACCACTTCCAGGATGCTGCTGTGGGCTCTCCATCCTCAGTGCTCACGCTCACGTCTGCGGACATTTAAGATCCTGCAAAAATGCACAAGCATGATACAAAAGCAGTCATTTTAACAGCACAATATTTAATCATTTAATTTATGTATTAGAAGTAACAAAATGATCTTACTTTGTATTTTTGTTTCAGGTTTTCCCTTTTTTTTTTAACAAACGCAGCCTTGCAGGCTCTGCTCCTCCACAAAAGATCTGCAGCAAGAGAGAAATCAAGAATGAAAAAGTTATATCTCTGTTTGAAAATACAATAATTGAAATGTACTGCAAATAAAGTATTCATTGATTATTAAATATTTCTGTATACTCACTCAAAGCCTTTGATGGCAGCATTACGCTTTCCGGTGAAGAGCGCTTCATGAGCCACTCTCCACCGGATAAGCAGCCGCGTGTGCTCATCCGTCCCTGTAACATCCAGACAAGACTCACGTTACCTCTGTGATTTATGAGCTCAATACTAGTCAAGTCATCTTAATTTATATAGCGCTTTTAACAATGGATTGTTTCAAAGCAGCTTTACAGAGATAAACATATAATTTAAGGTAACAGATTGTTTTGGCGTTATAGCGGTTCTTGAATAATGTTACTGCCAGCTAAAGTTAACTTTGATTGATTCACCTCCGTCGAAATGATCAGACTTTAAACGCGAACCTGTGATTAACGCTGACGGCGTTCACATGCTCATTCAGAATTCTATAGTTATGTGCTTTTTAAAATATGTGCGCAGGTTTGTAATTCATACAACCCAGCCTAAACAAACTACTTTTCTTGCCTATACATTTTGATACAGAATTTTGTTTTATTTTATCACTTCGGGGTACGCGAGCCGGAATTCACAGCGCTTTATCTGTAGAGTGGGAAAGGGATCCTCCATAGGGAGAGGATAGTGGATACTTCAGCACTGCATTGTCATCGGGTACTACTACATTTACATGTTACTACATTTACATGTTGAGGTTGTTGCTAATAAATAGCTTTTTATCCATCATAAATGTTCAACAATTTTTCAACAGTACTAATGGATAAATGAAATAGATTACTTATGTTTAGTTACTTTATGTAAAATGCATTAAACTAATAAAAACAGTGTTAACAACAGTGAATTCTCCTAAACAATAGTACACACACGTCACTCAGATGTCTATTTCATATCAGTTACACGTAGTAATCTTGCCAGATTTTGAATAAATATTTAGTAATGGTATTTCAGATGTATACGGTTTAAAATGTATGCAAATACAGTTTAAAGACGTATGTGTCCTTATGGGGCTCCTCTATCCAATAAAATGTGATTTACGGCAAAATCACAAATTTACCATATTATATAGCGTCTTTGCACCTTCAACAGTTCAACAATTTACTGTACAGAAAGTTAGTTCAACACATGCGATTTGGTTTGTATTTGTAATACTCACATTTGAAAACACTCTCGTCCACCCTTCCCGTCATGTTTGAGTATGAAATATCTACTTCTTGTTCTTTTTTATATCGTATCCTCTCGCGTGGCCTCCTGGGATAGATGAGTACAAGCTGAAAAGCACTCAAATGTCTGGGCGAAAGCAGGAGATCATCCGGGAACTTCTCGCCTACTCTTTTAGGAATACTGATGTTTCGAACGTACTGCTTCTTTCACGTACTGTTTTCGCCTACTATATAGTAGGAAAGTAGGCATATTCGAACGCACTATCGTCCAAATCTCGCGATAATTAGTACGTCAACCAGGTAATTCTCGCCTACTCTTTTATGAATACTGAGGATTCGAACGTACTTTTTTACTCGCCTACTCTTTTTCCAATACTATATAGTAGGGAAGTATGCGGTTTGGAACGCAGCCTAAGTGTTTAATGCCCAATGTTTCCTGGGGGAGGTCCCCCAGACCCCCCATTTATATTATTATTGCTTATTATTATGTGCCTCTGAGTAGAAGTAGTAGTTACCAAAAGCGGGGGGGGGGTGGGTGGGTGGTGGGGCCAGCTGAACGCAGGGTACAAAGGTCCAACGGCTATCGTCACTGTCCACAGTTGTCCAACCTATCCAATATCGCCTCAACGCTGAACATGGCTAATATTTCAGCACTAGACTGCGTTTGATTGGCGAATCGAATGCTGGGCGTGGTGCCCCCAGCCCCCCCCCCCCGGTCACCTGAATGCCTTCGGTTCGTTCGCAGGACCTTGTTTTGATTTTTAATATTTTTTTGGTGTTTTAGGGTTGACCGCATCACATATGCACCGCGAATATACCCCAATATTTTTTGCCAATTTCTCAGTTTCCGTTCACGTTAGAAAGTCGGTTGTTCTCGTCTTCCCAAGCCGGTTCCGACGATGCCAGAATATCACGAAAATCTCAAAGTGCCAATTATGCTATTTCCATAATTGTGCACAATAGACACATAAGCGCACTAGCTTGGCCTTGTTTTGTGCGTTCTACCATGTTCTCCACTGCACACTTATGTATCGTCCAACCTAAAATAGGGGTTTCCTAGCCTGTACAGCCTCGTACATTTTTGGACTAAATATCGGCCCGCTCAGAAAACCACCTTATACTGCAATGATTATTATTATTAGCTGTCCCTCTTGGCTAGATTAATGTGTTTGGGCTTGATGGAAAGTGGAGATTCAGGGCTAGGATTTGATGTAGCACAACTGAAGATCTGAGTCTCCTGGACTGAACAGCCTGGTTAATATTTGGACTAAATATCGGTGCGCTCAGAAAACCACCTTATTTGGCTATACTGTAATGATTGTTATTAGCTGTCCCTTTTGGCTAGATTAATGTGTTTGGGCTTGATGGAAACTACACATGGTGCGATGGATTTTCACGATTAATACCGTTCCGAATTATAAGACATCCGTTCAGGACATCAGTATAATCCCGCGGTAACTAAAGAGCCTATCCTTTAGTCGTGTCCTCAAGAGTTAGGTGATCAGTCTATATAAATTCGTATTCTATTATAAAGATAATAGATTTCCCCTCCATATTATAAGTCTACCTTTTGCGGTACTCTTCAACCGTGTTCGCACTATAACAGTTTGTAGTACATATATCACTCTATATGTTTACAGGTTATATGCTGCCTCTTTGGCTAGGCTGTTTGATCAATCAAATTCAACAGTGAATTATTCTTATCTCAAAAGAATTCTCACCCCTTGATGTTGGTTCTCCCCAGAAAGAATCTTCTTGATTCAGTTGAAGGAAAGTGAACAGCACTCAATGATCCAAGGTCCAGTCAGATGATTATAATAAATGTAACAGAATTTATTAAAATAATCAAATGAAAAAGAAACACTTGTTACAGATCAAAATGAGTACTAACTAACAGATAGATACTAGCTAAGCTTGAAGCTTCTTGCCTCTGATAATTGCTGGGGTATCAGAGTGGTGATTGCAAGGAAGAGCGAGGAGTCCATCTAGTTTCCCTTCTTTTATAGCCAGGTTTTTCACCGGTACTCCAGCAGCTGCAGATTCTTTCGTAGATAAGCAAACAGTTCGGTTGCTAACAGCACTTCCTTTCCGCAGTTAAGCGCAAGCACTTACGGTAGCTAACAGCAATCTCTTTCCGCAGTTTAACGCCTAATATGGTAATAATATGTTTAGCCAGCCACAGCACAACCTAATTCTGAATACCTAGAATGTGAGATAACATATACAGTTTACATAGCTCTTGGAAACTGTGGCAGGCAGGGTGGGGGTCTGTGTATCCTGTGCATCTGTGCATTCTGTACATCGTGTTCATGATAACAGCAGTTTTGTGGTCAAAGGGTTTTTCCCTCAAACAAGTCATACATAGTTCATACACTGATCTCATACATTTAACATTTCATTACATAGTGCATTTCATAGCCCAGATCTCTTTTTATTATGGTCATATTATTTATTTCATACTATAATGATATTATAGCGAGTGAAATGTCACACACACATATGGGCCATCTATATCACAATGGTAAGCTTTAATCTGATACAAAACAAGTGAAAATATATGGAGATTTGGCTCATTGACAACCATTTTTGAGATTTTGACCTTTTGGCCTACATCCGGAGTAAGGGCAAAACTCATGTTAAAGTGCAAAACATGAGCTTTCCAATGATGTAAGGCTGACTCTGATTGGACTTTGTTTTATTGAACAAAAAAGAAAATCGTACAGGCCGCTTTACCAAACATCTGAAGCCATTCACTGACCTCCGCCCTGAAACAGGCTCAACTCTACCTCTTGTCTTTCACTGTATGAAAAAGATACAGTAAAGCCATTCATATATTTGCAAACTGCAAATGATAAGCTTTAAAGGTGACCTATAATTCAAAATTGAATTTACCTTGGTATAGTCAAATAACAAGAGTTCAGTGCATGGACATGACATAGAGTGAATCTCAAACTGGACTGTTTTCGCGTTCTCATTTAATTCACGTTTATGAAAAACACCCCTGAAAAACGGTCGTTTCTCCACACAATACCGACTGTGACGCAATAGTCGGGATCATTAATATGTACGCCTCCAAATATTTGCATAATGCCAGCCCTCAATGCCAGGCGGAACTGCGCAGCCGAAGCATGGCAGTTGCTCAGTGTGGATGTACACATGAACACAAAAGTATTTTTTAGTTCCTTCATCTGAGCCTCTGAAGAAACAATGGGTTAATTTTATTTTCTCTGGAAATTTCCAAACATTTCACCGACTGTTTCCTCAACTTGGGCCAATACAGAGCTGGCCTCGGATCGAGCTACCAAGCAACACTTTCTGATGTGTAATTGTTCAAGTTCAGACAGGTAATCTTTCTCTCAAAATCGTTCAATACTGTTTATGCATCAGTAAGTCAAGCCAGTGACTAAAATATCAGCTTCACATCGTTTCTTTTAGTAGGATGAAAATAATCGTATTTAAATTGTGAACAAATTATATACAGAAAGCGATCAAAGAACAATCTTTCCACACAGCGCGAGTTTATCTGGACACTTGCCAAACTCGTTATGAAATCAATGACGCACGTTACTGCACAACGAAGCTCTTACTGTATTTACATCATCGTGTTTGCATTGGTGAAAGCAGATAGAGTGCAGAAACTGCTTTGCAATGATTAGATCTTCATTCTCGCGAACAACACACAGTCATCTGCTCAATGCTCATCACGGCAACATTTTATGTGATGGGAATAGATCTAAATACTTTAAAAACATCTCACGATTTGTTAATCTCGATAGCTGTTATAGTAAAAACGTATAATAGCAGTAGTAAAAGTAAAAGTACACATTTCATACCAATGTGTATGAAATGTGCTATTGTGCTTTTTACAATACAGATTGTTTCAAAACCTTATTTGTTTCATGAATTCACAACTTTAATGGGCACAGAATAATTTGTTGCATGGATACCTGGAGAATCAGAAATGCAAGTATTTAATGTTATGTACGCATGGCTTGTATAAATAAAGGGTATTAAATAAGTTATCAAAGTCTGGAACTGCCAGTAATTGGCACTGATAAGAGAAAGATTGAAATGAATCAATAGATTAAGGGAAATTTTATTTTTAAAACAGTAAAGAAATGTGTAGCAGCTTCATAGGAAGTACTGTACAGAAAGCATACATACACTCACCTAAAGGATTATTAGGAGCACCATACTAATACTGAGTTTGACCCCCTTTCGCCTTCAGAACTGCCTTAATTCTACGTGTCATTGATTCAACAAGGTACTGAAATGATTCTTTAGAAATGTTGGCCCATATTGACAGGATAGCATCTTGCAGTTGATGGAGATTTGTGGGATGCACATCCAGGGCACGAAGCTCCCGTTCCACCACATCCCAAAGATGCTCTATTGGGTTGAGATCATTGTCATGTTCAAGAAACCAGTTTGAAATGATTCGAGCTTTGTGACATTATCCTGCTGGAAGTAGCCATTAGAGGATTGGTACATGGTGGCCATAAAGGGATGGACATGGTCAGAAACAATGCTCAGGTAGGCCGTGGCATTTAAACGATGCCCAATTGGCCCTAAGGGGTCTAAAGTGTGCCAAGAAAACATCCCACCCACCATTACACCACCACCACCAGCCTGCACAGTGGTAACAAAGCATGATGGATCCATGTTCTCATTCTGTTTACGCCAAATTCTGACTCTACCATCTGAATGTCTCAACAGAAATCGAGACTCATCAGACCAGGCAACATTTTTCCAGTCTTCAACTGTCCAATTTTGGTGAGCTCTTGCAAATTGTAGCCTCTTTTTCCTATTTGTAGTGGAGATGAGTGGTACCCGGTGGGGTCTTCAGCTGTTGTAGCCCATCCGCCTCAAGGTTGTGCGTGTTGTGGCTTCACAAATGCTTTGCTGCATACCTCGGTTGTAACGAGTGGTTATTTCAGTCAAAGTTGCTCTTCTATCAGCTTGAATCAGTCGGCCCATTCTCCTCTGACCTCTAGCATCAACAAGGCATTTTCGCCCACAGGACTGCCGCATACTGGATGTTTTTCCCTTTTCACACCATTCTTTGTAAACCCTAGAAATGGTTGTGCATGAAAATCCCAGTAACTGAGCAGATTGTGAAATACTCAGACCGGCCCGTCTGGCACCATCAACCATGCCACGCTCAAAATTGCTTAAATCACCTTTCTTTCCCATTCTGACATTCAGTTTGGAGTTCAGGAGATTGTCTTGACCAGGACCAAACCCCTAAATGCATTGAAGCAACTGCCATGTGATTGGTTGATTAGATAATTGCATTAATGAGAAATTGAACAGGTGTTCCTAATAATCCTTTAGGTGAGTGTATATGTACAATATTATAGAGTCTGTCAGGGTTGTCAGACATCCAACCACTCCAGCTCCAGGACATGGGAACTAACACATTGTGTTCACAAATCTTTCACAAATCACTCCAGCTCCACTTCACTTCCACATGTCTGATGAAGACCTTTGGACCAGGCCTACTCAATCGTCCAGCCGGTCCAGGCCCTCTCCATGGAAGGACTTCCTCTTCACTCCGTAGTCAAACCGTAGTTCGACACCCACGCTGATGTCCTGCAGTGCCCTGAAGAGGATGACGTACTTGTCCTCCCCATCCACATGCAACCTGCAGTGAAAGGGCTTCAGGTTGGGTGCTTTTGTGGAGTGGTCGATCTTCCTGCCAACGGTCTCTGTAGCAGGGTGGCACTCGCAGGGAAAGGTCTGGGCGTCAATGCAGAGCTCTCTCTGTCCAACTTTGAAAAAGTACATGTACCTGGCCTCGTTATGCTGGCCCTGCACCATCACCCTCCCTTGTGCAGCTGGGATGACCCTGCCGTGGTAGTCGCAGACAATGTCGTTCTTGGAGAAAGTCTGGGTTGCCACGACTCCTAAAATAAAGAGAACACATAAAAGTTTTTAGTTAATGAATAAACATTACATGTAGACAAACAGTTCAGAATGTAAATTTAGTTCTTGCTGCAGTTCATGGCTGCTAAAATGTACATTTTACATTATTGTATTTTTCTGCCCTTACAAGACAAATGAAAGGTTTTCTTACCTAAACCTTTCTTGCCACCAAAGTCTTTTATGGCCAGGTCCGGCCAGGTCTGCTCAGACACACAGCGAAGGATGAACTTGTCATCTTCACCCGCTGCCTTAGAAGGTGGTGTCCACAGCCGTTCGATGTCCTCCGGCTTAGGACAGTTGGCCTTCCAACCCTCCTGCGCGATAAGCCGTGCCACCTTTGCGACCGAAGGCTTGCGGACTGTGAAATGTGCTGAAAGACAGAATGAAATAACGTTACTCATGTGAGTCACTTGTCACTGTAAATGAATGGCCTAGTTTTTGTGTTGAGTTAATGAGTGTCAATGCTCTATTGATGGATTCGGAGACTTACACAGCAGATATTCCTCTCTCTGGGCATACTGGGTCATCCGCCACTTGTCATAAAACACGTGGTCATCTGGAAAACCTGATTCGACACGCTGCATCTTGGATGGCGGCTGACCCTCCGGCGAAATAGGAAATCTCACCACGAACTCAGCAAAGTCCTTCCGAGATGGTCCAGCTGCACCGCTTGTGGCCAAGGATGCCTCGTCCACAGAAGTGCAGTATAAGAGAGGAATACAAGGTTTATAATATAGACCAAGCATGTTCTGGAGCTCTCCGAGGAGCTGAGCAGAGGGACGCTGTGTCAGATTGTCTTAAAACTATGAAAATGCAATTAGTACAAGAGATGTATTGTGTAAAAAAGTTTTGTTCTTGTTGATATTTTAATTATTGTTCATTTTATGCTGTGCTTTGTTGTACACTGGACCCTTTTTTAAGGATTTAAACTGGCTAGCATTAAAGCAAATATTTCTTGTTCCCCGAATAAAATGTCCCTTAACCCATTGTTTAATTGCATTCTTTTCATTAATTTATTCCAAAAAATATATAAAACAGTGACTCAACCCAAACTTTTTGTGAATGATAGTGTACAGGTCCTTCTCAAAAAATTAGCATATTGTGATAGTTCATTATTTTCCATAATGTAATGATAAAAATTAAACTTTCATATATTTTAGATTCATTGCAGACCAACTGAAATATTTCAGGTCTTTTATTGTTTTAATACTGATGATTTTGGCATACAGCTCATGAAAACCCAAAATTCCTATCTCAAAAAATTTGCATATCATGAAAAGGGTCTCTAAACGAGCTATTAACCTAATCATCTGAATCAACTAATTAACTCTAAACACCTGCAAAAGATTCCTGAGGCTTTTAAAACTCCCAGCCTGTTTCATTACTCAAAACCGTAATCATGGGTAAGACTGCCGACCTGACTGCTGTCCAGAAGCAACATGACATCATGACTTTGCGTAAACATACACGCCACTTTCAATTCAAGTGGCGTGTTATCTATACGCATTTTGAGCTATCCGCGTGTATGTCCACGCCGAAATCTTTTGCGTGTATGTCTACGCCATTAAACGTCCGAGTGATTCCGCGTGTATGTGTACGCCGTTAAATGTCCGAGCGAAACGAAGCAAAATCTATATCTACTTCTGTGGAGCGATATTTCTTTTCCTAGGATGGTAGGAGAAGACTCATAAATGGTATTAACCCCAGTGACGGGTAGGTTTAGGGACGGGGTTGGGGTAGGTCATATATTTATATATACATAATACAGTAATATAACGTTAAGTCAAAGGCGTTGATAAACACGCTGAAAAGCGATTATGCGTGTTGATAGCACGCCAAAAATGGAAATACGAATTGGCGTGTCATACATACGCCATTTCATGAGATCAGTCTGCCAGAAGGCCATCATTGACACCCTCAAGCAAGAGGGTAAGACAGAAATAAATTTCTGAACAAATAGGCTGTTCCCAGAGTGCTGTATCAAGGCACCTAAGTGGGAAGTCTGTGGGAAGGAAAACGTGTGGCAAAAAACGCTGCACAACGAGAAGAGGTGACCGGACCCTGAGGAAGATTGTGGAGAAGGACCGATTCCAGACCTTGGGGGACCTGCGGAAGCAGTGGACTGAGTCTGGAGTAGAAGCATCCAGAGCCACCGTGCACAGGCGTGTGCAGGACATGGGCTACAGGTGCCGCATTCCCCAGGTCAAGCCACTTTTGAACCAGAAACGGCAAAATCAAGGTGCCAGAGTCTGGTGGACAATCAGTCACTCGGCGAGAACGTCAAGAGCGCGTAAGTTGTTTTTTCTTAATATCCAGTTCTCCTGTTGCTCTGTTTACCATTTGTCAAGTAAGTAGGGCTATTTTTCGATTCTTTGCTTCTTTGTAATTTTTATCTTCACTAAATATCTTTATTTTAATTAGACGCGTTCCTATTTTGAATATCTGCCGTCTTAAGGGTTGTAGTCTGTTTGTTATTGTAGCACTTAAGTATTGCTGTTCATAACAGCTAGTTTCGATTTGGGCCATTGTCGGGATATTTGCTTTCGCTGTGCGAATTGCAAGGGCTGTTAAAGCAGATATAAATTAGAAGTAAATTCAGGTGAAAGCCAGGACAAGCAGTCACTCGGCGAGAACGTCAAGAGCGCGTAAGTTGTTTTTTCTTAATATCCAGTTCTCCTGTTGCTCTGTTTACCATATGTCAAGTAAGTAGGGCTATTTTCGATTCTTTGCTTCTTTGTAATTTTTATCTTCACTAAATATCTTTATTTTAATTAGACGCGTTCCTATTTTGAATATCTGCCGTCTTAAGGGTTGTAGTCTGTTTGTTATTGTAGCACTTAAGTATTGCTGTTCATAACAGCTAGTTTCGATTTGGGCCATTGTCGGGATATTTGCTTTCGCTGTGCTAATTGCAAGGGCTACCACAGCTGTCCTCACTCAGACGATTGATAGCATTATTTTTATGTAGTGTGCGCGCTGTCGTGGAAGCGTCAGCGGAAGCATTCAGCTCTCGTGTTCAGCCTCCTCGTGTGAAGACCGACTCGGGTAAAGACCTGCGACTCTACCTGCGCGACTCCACCGAGCAAGGACACCTGCAAGGCACTTAAAGGTAGGAAAGGAAAGGGTGAAGAAGATACTTTATCTTATTTCCCATTATCATTATGTGCTTTCAACACATTCCTGTTGTCTCTCGACAACGCTCTCTCACCACGCACAGAAGGCAGCGCAATACTGCTTATCTGCGCCCTTTTCTCTCATCCTCACACTCACCTCTCACTCTTTCTATGGGTCTATGGAATTGTCAATCAGCAGTCAATAAAGCTGACTTCATTCCAGCCTTTGCATCTCATTCTACTCTTAATATCTTGGGCTTGACTGAGACCTGGATCCGTCCAGAAGACTCAGCAACCCCTGCTGCTCTCTCTAACAACTTCTCTTTCTCTCACACCCCTCACCAGTCGGGCACTGGTCTTCTCATTTCTAACAATTGGAAATATTCACCTCTCTCTTCTCTATGCAATAACAACTCATTTGAATATCATGCTATTACACTTACAACTCCCATGAAGATCCATATTGTAGTTATTTATCGCCCCCCAGGTCAACTGGGAAGCTTTGTAGAAGAGCTGGATGTGTTGCTGTCCTCTTTCCCTCAGGAGGGCATCCCACTTGTAGTCTTTGGCGATTTCAACATTCACCTAGCGAAGCCGTATGCAACAGACTTCATCTCTCTCCTAGCCTCTTTCGATCTCAAACGGCTCATCACCACCGGTACTCACAAGTCAGGCAACCAACTGGACCTGGTTTACACACGCAACTGTATCACAGACAACATTTTGGTGAAACCTCTCCAAGTTTCAGATCATTTCCTCATTACTTTCAATCTACAACTCACTACCCATGCTCCACCAACCTCCCCACCATTTACTTTCAGACGAAACCTGCGCTCACTTTCTCCATCCCATCTTTTCTCTGCTGTGTCATCTTCTCTTCCCTCACCCTCACATTTCTCATCTCTGGATGTGAATACTGCAACGGATACTTTATGCTCCATCCTAACCTCTTCTTTAGACAATATCTGCCCTCTCTCCTCTAGGCCAGCCCGCACCACTCCCTCTAACCCCTGGTTATCTGAGGTTCTTCGTGAACACCGGACCAAGCTCAGGGCAGCGGAGAGGAAATGGCGCAAATCAAAAGACACATCTGACCTCAGTAGGAATCAATCTCTGCTCTCTGCCTTCTCTGTTGATGTTCACGCCGCAAAATCTTCATATTTCCACAACAAGATCAACAGCGCCTCTAACACACGTTCACTGTTCAAGACATTCAATTCTCTCCTCTGTCCACCTCCACCACCACCCATCTCCTCTTTAACTGCTGATGATTTTGCTAACTTCTTCACTAACAAAACTACAACTATCAGCAGTCAGTTCTCAGCTTCACACACACAGGAACCCAGACTAACCTCCCCCACAGCCAATAACCTTCTCTCCTCCTTCACTCCACCTTCACTCCACTAACCGAGGAAGAAGTATCTAAACTTCTCCTCTCCAGTCATCCTACCACCTGCCCTCTAGACCCCATCCCCTCACACCTTCCACAAGCCATCTCTCCCACACTTCTACCAGCTCTCACACACATTATCAACTCATCCCTCCACACTGGCATTTTCCCTACAGCATTTAAGCAGGCTCGGGTAACTCCTCTGCTTAAAAAAACAACATTAAACACATCACTTCTAGAGAACTACAGACCTGTCTCTCTCCTACCATTCATTGCGAAAACACTTGAACGAGTTGCTTTTAACCAAGTATCATCCTTCCTGTCTCTAAACAACCAGCTGGATGTCAACCAATCTGGCTTCAAGAAAGGCCATTCAACAAAAGCTGCTTCCAAATCATCAGTTCTCATTCTACTGGACCTGTCTGCTGCCTTCGACACTGTGAATCATCAGATCCTCTTGTCCGCCTGGAACCTCCCTCATCTGGTTTGAGTCCTATCTCAGAGGTAGGTCCTTCAAGGTCACATGGAGAGGTGAGGTATCCAAAGCACATCAACTGACCACAGGCGTTCCTCAGGGTTCAGTTCTCGGACCGCTCCTCTTCTCCATGTACACCACATCACTGGGACCTATCATACAGGCACATGGTTTCTCTTACCATTGCTATGCTGATGACACCCAGCTCTACCTCTCATTTCAACCAGATGATCCCACAGTAGCTGTACGGATCTCAAGCTGTCTGGCGGACATCTCGGCATGGATGAAGGAACATCACCTGCAGCTCAACCTGGCAAAGACTGAGCTTCTCGTCCTCCCTGCCAATCCGTCTCTACAGCACGACCTCACTATCCAGCTAGATTCATCCTCAATCACCCCATCAAGGTCGGTCAGAAATCTTGGAGTAATCTTTGATGATCAGCTGACCTTCACAGACCACATTACAAAGACAGCTCGATCATGCAGGTTTGCTATGCACAACATCAGGAAGATCAGGCCTTTCCTAACTGAGCATGCAACACAACTTCTCGTCCAGGCCCTGGTCATTTCTAGGCTTGATTACTGCAATGCTCTTCTGGCTGGACTTCCATCATGTGCAACTAAACCTCTACAAATGATCCAGAATGCTGCAGCTCGTCTTGTCTTCAACGAGCCCAAAAGGGCCCACGTCACTCCTCTGTTCATCTCTCTGCACTGGCTACCACTCGCTGCTCGCATCAAGTTCAAGGCTTTGATGCTTGCTTACAG